TTTAAAGAACCAATGATATCAACTTTGTAATAAATTTAAGGAACGGAAAATATTGCAATACTATATTTTGATTGATAAACATATTCACTATATTATAAGGACACTCACTTTTTACTATAAAAATAATAATAATATTTATACCTTACGACAAATACAATTTAACTAAAATCTCTTTATGCAAAGTTTTTATTAATTATATTTTTTAAAAAAATAATAATATATTTTTAGTACTTATAGCTATTTATAAACTATCCTATAAATAGAACACATTGAACTTTAATCTTCAGAATTAGTTGACTTGAAWTATGTATACAACAATTGTATTATTTCTCTAATCTAAATGTTAAAAACATGGGCGATATTTTCAATTAAAAAATTCTTAATATGACTTTATCAATTCAATTTTGGAATATTTAAGAAAACACATAATTYTGTAAATTTTAAAAATGTATTTCATTGAATTGTTGATTATTTTTCGTTTTTGTTTAAGTCTTTTGTCGATGTTTATTTTCAATAATTTCTTTATTAAAAATTGTTTTGAATACTAATAGTTGAACATTAAATATTTAAATGTTTAATATATAATGGGTGAATTAAATTAAATTGTATCGGRTGCAGACGATACAGTAATTTTCAGAAATTAAATCATGCCGTAGTACTATACCAAAGCAAAATACGGCGTTGTTGCATCAAATAATAATTGCATAATACAATACGATAACTGATAAAATTAACAATAGAAATAAAATTATTATTTTAAAATAATAAATAAGATTAAATATTGTATAAGTAGCATTAATAATTATGATTGTATATTTAAAAATTACATTCAAATGACGTTGGCATGTTATAATGTTAAAAATACTTTAATTGTATCATTTTCAATTAAATTTTACCGATTTATATTTATATTCTATTATGATAAATACACGTAAACAGTAAAATGTATAAGATMGTTTTTGTTTTGTTCCACTAATCTTTGAGGTTTTGAGTTTGGATAATGATGAATTGCTGATTACTGTATTGATAATTGAWAACGTCGAAAGAATTAAAAAAATAATTTTTATAATACTATCTACCTATTTAATATTTATTATCATTAACCATTATGTTTTGGTATGTTTTTTTTTTAGATATTTGCATAAAATATATTAATTATTTGATAGTTGAAAACTATCGTTATTATTGATTTTATCAAACGCAGGATATTTTCCTTCACATAAATTGTAAAACATAATATTGTATGCATTGTAGTGGACGTTTTAACTAATACCTATACAATATCTATTGCCASACAGTGAAATATTTTAGTCACCCATTAGGTCATATGTTTAATAATTGGAAGACATAATTTTTTTAAATATAAATAAAACGTCTAAAATCCACTTAATCCTAACGTATTGTAGGAAGAAAATAAGTAAAATTATTTTTCCGTAATAATTAGGTACAAAAATATTCAAAATTTATTACTCTAGTAAAATATCTTCATACAAAAATCGTTTTATTTCAAATATATTAAAATATTGTTGATTTAAAATTTATATCCAGCTTATTCAATACTGCAATGCCCTACTCAATGGAGAGATTTCCGTCGACACCTACTATACGGCAGAGCGAGTTCTTCAGTTTTTTTTTTATATTTAATGAAATTCTCAAGACGTCTAACAACGTTAGGGTTATTATTATAGTTGCTCTCAAATTGTACAATATAGACGCTAAAAAAATCACGAGATGTGTTCGTAAAAATATGCATTTACACACCAAAAACGAATTAATATGTGGTAAAATATGCTCGTAAAAATCAAATTTAAAGACATTTATTTTTTTGAGTTAAAACAATTTAAAAAAAAAAAAACTGTACTTAAAGTTGATTTGCTTATCTATTATTTGATATATTATTGTATATAACTATATATTTAATTTATAAAAAAATAATATAAGAATTATAGGACTTACCTAAAATGTTGCAAGAATAAAAAATAATTGGGTAAAAATTTGAATTACTCTTTTTTCTACTACTAAATTGCAACCAAATGGCAGTTTTTTTGTAAGATGCGTCCAAATTTTTATCGATGTTAAAAAGGTATAATTTCAACWATACCCTATTTTTYATTCATGTTATATAAAGTAAAACTTGAGCTGTTCGCCGTTTGTAAATCATATAAAACTTTAAACTTATTAAAGTCTCTATGATTGTATACTTTTTCAAATTATATCACAGAAATTTTATTTTTGTCCAAAACCATGATATTTGTAAAAATAC